CAGGTGAGTCCGAGGCTCGTAGTTTGACATCTAAATTGTAGCAATTTCTTTGGGGCGAAACATAACGAATCACCCCAGGATTTTTTTGTTCTACATTGTTCTAAGTCATCCATTTTCGTTAACTTTCTTTGAGCAAGGAATCACAGATAGAAATGCAGTCCATTTAATTTTTATGCCGTTAAATTGTGAAGTGCTCAAATATCGTAGTGATTCATATAGCCGGGTGTTTTCAAATGCCTTACAACCTTCAAAATGAGATATGTGGAGTATCACTGTGATGTCCAGTATCGGGTGACCTATATCATTTTTATTCAGCGTTTCGATTTGGTCATCATCAAAGACTGCAGGATCTACCGGAGGATTCTCTATCTTCTAATCAAAAATCTAGCGTAACAATTCTGGACATTATTTTCAGCTATGGCACCGTCCCCATAAACGGCACATATATTTGCGCACGCGTGTGTACGCGCGCGCGCGTGCATGCGTGCGTGCGTGCGTGCGTGCGTGTGTGTGTGTGTGCAGCGTTTTTAACTTGTTGGAAATAAAAGTGCATTATATGAGTAAAATTGTTTATTTTCCACCTTATTCATTTTTAAAGCAAAAACACTTACAATTCACAATCCAAAAACGAATTATACTGAAAGACACGCTGAAATATAACCTATCAGGATATATAATAATGTCGCAAATTCCAGTCGCCTGTGAAATGAAATCATATATTCAAACACCACCTATTGAAGAACACTACGAATTTTAGTTGCAAGCTAATACTATATTCAGGTTTGGTAAACACCAACAAAGGGCCTTTGTATAATTTTTTATTTAATTTTTCTCTGGTTTTGATTTTTCTACTTTCCGTGAGAAATTTGAACATAAATTGTCTAATGTGTTCAAATTGTTTTCGGCTTTCATAAATCCATATCAAAGAGTGTTTTTATTATTATTTTTGTGTTGATTGATGTGTACCTATGTGTCTATGCATTGAACTTTCGTTGATAGCTTTCAGGTGTCGTATGTCTTCACTCTCCCGATGATGTCACGTTTTTTTACTTCTTTTTCGTGTATCATTTCTTCAGATATTGACCGGTTGCGTGTCGGTTTTACACGTATTTGTATTCTCTTTATTTTGTGGTGTCATGTCTATATATTTTCACTAATCATATATGTGTAAAATATACTACATCTCTCACTCTCTGTCTCTCTCTGTCTCTCTCTCTCTCTCTCTCTCAGGTCATCCCATAAGTACTGTCCGAAATATTATATATGTAATTTCAATTTAAATTTCCAATCAAATTTTACAGTATCAACAATGTCAAATGAAATTGATTAATAATCATATGAATTTAGAAACCTTTAACTTAATATAATTTCTTTTTACAGAATAATTTGACTGAATTAATTACTCAAATTAGCCCCTCAAATATGGAGGCGTCGAAGGAGTATTTAAGGCACATAATGCTTTATGAGTTTAAAAAAGGGAACTCGGCAGTCGAAGCTTATGAAGAAGAACACCTGAATGAAAAAGCTTGCAGAAGATGATTTGCCAAATTCAGAAGTGGAAATAGGTTCCTGAACTTGGAAAATGGGTGCCTCGGGAATTGCTTGAAGTCCTCCGCAAATCCTGAGTTGGCATCTGCTTTTTTTCTTTCATTCTCGTGAATTTATGCCGGGCTTTTTTGTATAGACTTGTGACTAGTGATGATAAATGAAATTAATTTGTCAAACGTCGTAGACAGTGGCTTAGTAATGAAGAAAAGGCCCAAATAGAACCAAGAAGGAAACTTCATGCGCAGAAGGTTCTTCTCTTAATTTGGTGGGATTGCAAAGGAATAATTCACTTTGAGTTGCTACCAACTAATGCAACAAGAGCTTTCGAACGTCGCTATGAAGAAGTAAAGAGTCTGTTTTAGTGAACCGAAAAGGAGTGGTATTTTATCAGGACAATTCACGATCCCACACTGCAAAAATCACATTCTAGAAGATTGAAAAACTTGGTTGGGAAAGAATTCCTCATCCACCTTATTCTCCCGACTTTGCTCCTTCAGGCTACCATTTGTTCCGTAATTAACAGAATCATTTGGATGGATTAACTCTCAAAAGCCATATGGAGGTCGAAACTGACATTTCAGAGTTATTCTCTTCGAAACCCGAAGAGTTCTTTATTAGCGGCATCAAAAATCTTGTAAACAGATGGAAGGAAGTCATAGATAATCACGGAAACTACATTGATGAATAAATTTCAATAAAATGTAAGATTTGATTGCTCGTTCTTTATTATTCAAAATCCGAACAGAACTGATGGGGTGACTTGATATATATATATATATATATATATATATATATATATATATATATATATATATATATAATATGTGAAAATATATAGAAAATAGGAAGGAACTGGTTAGGTAAATAATCCAAAGTCCCTTAGTATTTTAGTTATTATTTTTTTAAAATAGTGCTCGATACAAAAGTAGAGCATAAATATAATTATTTATTTAAAAATATGATTCCAAAACGTTACATAAGAAGTCTCATGTTTCAAAACAAGAGCCGAAAACTTCAGTATAATTATTTAAATTAAATTGAGTTAAAATAAGCTCTGTTCCATCTTCAAGCGAAATTTTTTTTTGGAATAATGTATATCTGAAATTTACGTGTTTTAAAAATTGAAATCAAAATTTCCATGGTAACAGTGGTATACCAATGTACTATATCATCCACTGAGAGCCCTAGCACTAATATGATATACATTGGGTCCACGAAGAATGATTTTAAAGATAGATGGAGGCAGCATAAGTGCTCTTTCAATAATATAAACAAAAGAAATCAGACTTCCCTATCTAAATATTTTTGGCATCTGAAGGAAACAAATAGGACACCTAAAGTTAAATGAAAAATTATAAACAAGGCTAGAACATGTAAAACTTGGGATGACCCATGCCCTTTGTGCCTCCATGAAAAATTGCACATTATTAAGCTTCTAAATAATAATAATCTATTAAACAATAGACACGAGTTAACGGTTTTGAATTATTAGCTAAAAAAAAGCATAAAATATAATAACTTGTTTAATCCATAGCCCAATCATCAGATTCATGGTTTGAATAATTAACTAAAAACATGCATATAATATAACACCCTTCATAATCCATAGCCCAAATAAATAGTTTAAATACCCTACAAAAAAGATAACCCTTTATGAAGTCGTCAAAAAACAAACGTTACGACAGCTTTTTTATATGCACAAATCCCTTTCATAAAAAAATAAAATAAAATAATAAATAAATCTCCATTGACATGCAAACTAGACGAGGGTTAATACATCCTCCGTTTAAAGTTTAGACACCCCTACCTTTCCCTGACTTGACATCTATGAAAGTAACTTATTATTAACACCCAACACTCGCTTACCCAATTTAAACAATTCGCCCTAGCTGTTACCATGGAAATTTTGATTTCAATTTTTAAAACACGTAAATTTCAGATATACGTTGTTCCAAAAAAAAAATTTCGCTTAAAGATGGAACAGAGCTTATTTAATTTAAATTTAAATAATTATATTGAAGTTTTCGGCTCTTGTTTTGAAACATGAGACTTCTTATGTAACGTTTTGGAATCATATTTTTAAATAAATAATTATATATATATATATATATATATATATATATATATATATATATATATATATATATACTAGCACCTCCTACCAAGGAAAACTGTAAGATTATTAGAAAGACTTAATACAAAAATTATAATATTTCCTTTTCTGTCACATTCAATGAAATATGTAGATACTAATTATGTAGAGATAATAAGATAGAGCAGAAAAACTTTTTCCACTACGCATTAACCCCCTTATAGTAGGCCTCCTCGTGATAGTATGACACACAAAACCGTCTGTTAGAAAAGGGGTGTTGGAAAATGGAGAATATATTTATCAGATGTTGTAGCCAAAGAATAGTTTGTTTTTTTGTTCTTTTTTTTTCGAACGGAGTCAAAGTCTAGTTTATTTGAAATTTAGCCAAACCAAATCTCTCTCTCTCTCTCTCTCTCTCTCTCTCTCTCTCTCTCTCTCTCTATTAGTTCGTATGTCATGTTATGTTACTAATATCTTTGTAATGATTAGTAATGTATAAGTGTACTGTACAAGTTTAGTTTGACTCATTCAGCTTTCGTATTGAAAAAGTTTATTCTTATGAAGCGAGAGAAGAGATGTTTTGTGTTTATTTTATTACCACAATATATATATATGAACCTGATCTAAAGTTGACTGTAGAGAACTCTGAGATCATTGCACTTTCAATGGGTTTTCTACTTAGTAAGTTCTTTTTTCTCTTAATCAGACGTGTCATTTTAAGTCGAAATTTTGTAGCACATCTAACCAAAATTTAACAAAAATTAGATTTAAGACCTTGAGATTCCATTAACCCAATTGATAGGTCCATCAGCATCAGGAATGATTAATACTTACGAGTTTTGGACTTCCCGAGACGTGAATGTTATAGGAATAAGAATGAACATTATATCCACAAAGATCAAATAAAGAGTTCATTTTTGTTATTTTCTTTGAAGATTTCTGAAAGCGATTATCAAGTAAGTGAAAGTTGATTAAAAAAAATTGAGATCAAAAAACTCGTCCAAAAGAAATAATACGTGATATTTTCTAAAATGTCACCTGATCCAAAATCTTTCCCACTTGAAGAGAAATACAATAAATGATAATGGTAGCATTAGCCGTTTCTTCATAAGGAAACATTCAGCATTCATTAAACAAATAACCAGTTCTACCTGCTGTTGAAATTTATAAAATCTTTCCCTTAAAACAGTTTTCAAGAAAATAGTTTCAAGTCCACTAGCTGTTATCGCTCTTTCCAGTATTGACGAAGGAGTTCTTTTTAACATTTTATTTGAAATAATGTGGAAAATTAACATCTTGATTATTTCATTGTTTTCTCGTCGAGTCATAAGCGATATCAATTTTAGTTGTTGCTAAATGACGCTGAAAAACAGGTTCTCGTTTGATCACCGAAGTTAAGCCGTGTCGATCCCGATCAGTATTTAGATGAGTGACCGCTTGGGAACATCGGGTACTGTACGCGAAAGCCGGTTATAAAACCGGTTGGGTTTGTCAATTTCGTCTAATAAAACTTTACTTGCTATGGAAACCACAGCAGGAACGCTTAGTGATTCTGACAATAGTCGCCCCATAAACCCCAGTGCTCTCTACAGGACTAAAAGGGGAGGTGGAGGAGAGCTGTTGATATTCCTCAGGTGATGTGAGTTCAGTTATTTCAGATGAACACAACAATTTTGTCTTAGAAAAATGATGAACACGTCAATTGTCTTGGAAAAAGTAACACTCTGATGATGACATATTACTAATGTCGAAAGTAATCGGAATAAATGAATATATATCAACATAGTAGTTTTCCCTTCCTTTAATAAGGATACTAAGAAGCTTGTTCGTGAATATGAGAGGATCCTATTGAAAATAACAAAACTTGTCTAAATTATTCAATCACACACACACACACACACACACACACACACACACACACACACATATATATATATATATATATATATATATATATATATGAGTCAAATATGATTGAATAATTTAGACAAGTTTTGTCTGTTTATTTTCAACAGAATCGATTCATATTCTCGGATGAGCTTTTGTTGACGGTATTGATAATAAGCAGAGAAAACTTTTCTAAATTATCCAATGAAACTTGCCTCAATAAAAATATGCTGCCAAAATACACAATATATATATATATATATATATATATATATATATATATATGTGTGTGTGTGTGTGTGTGTGTGTGTGTGTGTGTTTGTGCGTGTGCGTGTCTGTGTGCATGTCTGTGTGAGTGTGGACAGCAATACATGTTTCGTTCAATAAATGACACTAATGGTGGTGCTTGTTTATTTGGTCCAATTTTAAAAGTTGTTCAGGCCAAAGCATTTCAGCATCCATTCAATGGATATATATATATATATATATATATATATATATATATATATATATATATATATTTCAAGTTTATATATATATATATATATTTTCTAAGTTTATATATATTTTCTAAGTTGATATATATATTTCTAAGTTTATATATATATATATATATATTTCTAAGTTTATATGAAGGCAAATTAATTTAAGGAAGGTCTGAAGTAGATATATGGAAAAAATAATCAACCCCTTTAAATTTGTGTTAGATGTAATTTTTTATTTTGTATTCTCATATATCACATTTGAAATATTTTTTCTATACTTTGTATCAATTCTAAAATATTTTTTCTATAAATTATCTTATATAAATCATTTTGCTTTCCGCTTGAGAAGAAGTTTATTTTTTTTTAATAAGGAAAACTCAGTTATGATTTGAATGCAAAACTAAAGAAATATTACGCGACAAAAGTACGAAAAAATTCTTACAACATGGAAACAAAATAAATACCTACTTTCAACTTCTTTTGGAAACTGCACCTATGCATGTAGCAGGGCTTCTAAAAAATAGAACAAACAGCAAACACTAAAGAGATGCAGCATTTTTATTTCAAATTATCTATAGTATTATAGATATGTGTGTGTGTTTGCGTGTGCGTATATATGTCCATCTTTCTGTATATACATATCTATCTCATTATCGATGTATTACATGTCTGTATGGCTGTCTTTCTATCTGTCTGGTGTTCTCCCTATCTTCCTGTATGCCGCTGTGAATGAATGAATGGCTGGGCTGATGTTTCCCGCTCTGTCTTTCACAATATATATATATATATATATATATATATATATATATATATATATATAGGATTAATAAAATAACCTAAAATTTGTCACTTAGCTGCTTGATGTTATATTCAGCAGCTCGACTCCGGAGTTTTGTAGACGAACTTTTTATAATCTTTCGGTCCACGCGTCAGGAGGTTTCAGTAATTTATTGAGGATTTTCTCATTCTGGTTACTTTTTACTAAGTTAAAAATTAATTTATACGCTAGTTATTAGTGTTAGGTTGATTTTTTTTCTCTGTGTGTGTGTACGTTCGTGTGCATTTCTGTGTGTGTATTTGCGTACGCGTGTGCGTGTGTATAAGTGCGTATGTATCAAATGTCATGGTTATTTCTCGATTACTGGTTATTATTTCTTGATTTGTGGTTATTTAAAGAACATTAGCTGCCTAAATACACAGAAAGATATATATTATGTGTATTTAGACAGCAAATGTCCCTTAAGGCAAATATTATTAAAGACAACAAATATTTTGTGTCGATTAATTTTCCAAATTACGAATAATCTTTCTTAGACAAGGAAGAAATTCCGTCAGAAAATGCCCTATGTTCATTTCGGAAGAAATATAATCTAAACTTCCTACTTTCTTAAGCCATCATCAGGATTGATAGACAAATGGTGAGTTTCGTAGAACTACAGTGTTGTGACGTAGACAAATTATGACGTGTGTGCGTGTTAACATCTGAGAATGCAGACTCTTAAATTATAACTGAGTTTATTCATAGATGGTTGTTTTTGTTGTATAAATATTGCTTGAAGGAATTTCGATATAAAAATATGCTACTCTGATCAAAGGAGAAAACAATTTACTACGACGTAAATGTCTAGAGTGATGTTGATCAGCAAGGTCATCTACAATAAATTTGTGCCCGGGCTCTTACAACATTTCACCATTCTTAGAAGATCTTCTACCATCACAGTTTGGGATACCTACTAACAAAAGTGATGGAAAGAAAAAGAAATAGACTCTAAATGAATTTGGCCAGATATAAAAAAAATTAAAAAAATAAAAATTCTAAAATCCCTTGCACCACCCGTTCTTGCACATGTGTAGTCGTACCAACATAATAAATTTAGTCTGTGTGTGTGTGCGTGTGTGTCTGTTTGTGTGCGTGCGTGTGTCTGTGTGTGTGTGTGTGTGTGTGTGTGTGTGTTGATATCGAACTTTTGGTTTAAATTATTTCTATTTACTACTAATTTCATAAAATACTATGCAGGTGGTCTTTCTTAAAACCCAAAATGTTCGTAGTAGTCCTTGCAAGAATGAGTTTATGTGTACGTAGGCAGGAACGTATGTGTGAATGTATGTATGTATGTATTTATGAGCGTTATCGAAAGGTAGGAATGTCTTTTAAGTAATCGCTCAGTCTTAAAATGTTCCGTTCCTTTATCAAGTATAAAAGAGGTGAAGGAGAAAGGTAGAGATAATAATAACGCTCACTTGACGTTGTCAAGGTACATGTTAATACGCTCGTCTCCTCTCTCTCTCTCTCTCTCTCTCTCTCTCTCTCTCTCTCTTGCCTGGTGACAAGCTTTTTTATTTTGTTTGTGGAGCTTGAAAAGGTCATTTGGGAATTCACTTCCGGATATTATTCGGGCCTTTCCATTGGACGACGAGCAAATTTCGCGTCGGCTCGCGAACAGGTCCGTAAAAGAATTTGTTTCTGAAAATTGAAGATTATTTGAATTTCGTTTTTAAATGTTTCCTAATTTTCTATTGGCCGAAAAACTTTTCGCATCAAGGTGTGAAATTTCACGAGTTTTGTTTTGGATTCGCTTTTTTTCGTGTGTGTTAAGCAAAAGTTTGTAAATTCGAGTCTTTTTAATTTCTAACAAAATCAATGAGTCAGTGCTTAGCATTTGAATTTTAAATCTAGATCTTGTTTTGTTGACTACAATGTACTTAAATATGTTACTTTTTAATTTCCGTAAGTTCCACTAATATATTTTAAGGAACAGCTATTAGTTTATTTTATACACTTGTGTTAATTTAAGATTCATTTATTAGTGTTGTCTGTGGACCATGCGGATTAGAAAATAAGTTACTGCATTTTCGTAAGTGCTATAAAACAGACGATACACCACTTTATGTATGCTTGAAGCTGAAAAAAGCCCGTTCCAAACTATTGAGCTAATAAAAGATCTGAGATGAGAAAGTCCTGATAATATGCAAATTTTTAAGTAGGACTTCTGTCCCACCAAACACACCACATTGCCTTCATATAGTGCACGTTTTTCGGTATTCTTTTTGTTGAAACTACTGGCGAAATGCAAACCTTCTTTCTGTTGACGTTTCTCAAGACAAGCCATGATTCATCCCTACTGAAAAGATTCTTCAGAAACGGAGCTTGTTCGTTTCGTTGCAGCAAATCAGTGAAAATTCGGACATGTTCAGCTTTATTGTTATCGGAGAGTTCGTGAGGGACACATCCAGACAATTTTCATACCTTTCCGAGTTTTTTGAGACGATGAACGAATGGTTGAATGGACCAGATTGAAGTCTTCGGCCAGCATTCGAGTTGTCAAGCTTTCGTTCTCTTCCATGGCTGCCAAAATTGCCTACTCGTCGAAATCCGATGGTCGAGCTCTTCCTGGTTTATCTTCCAAGCAAATGCCGCCATATTTGAAACGATCAAACCATTCCCTGCATTGACTGTCACTGATTGTTCCATCGCCAAAAAAGTTCGTTGAGATCGCGAAATGAGTGCCTGATTTTCATCCTTTTTCGAAGTGGTACAGTATATCGAAACGCATTTTTATAACTTGAAAATAAAATATTTCTATTAAAAAAAGTAAGCAAAACAGCATTTTTTTATTAACAAATAACTCGCCTACAAAAACGCCTGATAATTACGCACAAACCCAATACAGTATGAACAACATTTACCGGACTGAATAATACTGTTTATTATAAACAAGTCATTTACATAAATATTTTTATCTATAAAAATAACTTATAAACAGAAAATATATTAAAATAATTGTTGGACTTAGTCCATATATATATATATATATATATATATATATATATATATATATATTTTGAACAATAAGAAAATAAAAAATTAAAAAATTAAAATCATTAGACACACTGGGTTGTAGATTAATAATATTCTTTCGTTTTTTTATTATTATTATTCCATTTAGATTTCTCGACTAGTTTCGACCGAAATGGCCATCATCGGGAGGAGAAATTAAATATTTCTGCTTGCTGTTAGCAGTGAACTACAGAAATGAATATCTTTTGTTGGAGAAAATGAACTTTTGTCTGTAGTTTTCATTTGTT